TATGTACTGCATATGAGACAGAGAGGCATGAGAGACATGGGATGGAAAAGAGGGAGGAGGAGGGAGTGCAAAGACGAAAGGTGGATGGAGGGATGAGGGGTGAAGAGTGAACGCATCATTATGCATGCTTGGCAAGAAATAAAAGTCACCTATTTCAGAATTAATTAGGCTCCTCTCCTTAGACATGTGAAAAGGATAAAGTACCTTTCCATCTGCATTCACCAGTTATAAAAAGGTGCTAGCTTTAATGTGTGTTATATTACCTCTGTTCTATCACGGTCCTCTTGTAGTGGCTCAGTACATTACTACCTCTATAAAAGAAATAAATATTGCCATCTACCATACTAATGTGCTTGCCATTTACTTTCTAGATGGGGGATGAAGATGGCTAGGCAGCAGACAGAGTAATGTTTTACTCGGTGATTGTCCAGCACGCTATTTAGCTTCACAGGATAGAACAGAGCAAAGATTTGCTCAGTGATTTACAAGAAAACAGGGCAAATAAAATTTTATTTCCCCTTGATTAGCATTATAGGAAGCAAAGAAAGTATTCTCTCTGGGTAGGAAATGGTGCCCCAGTGCATTGCAGCTGATATAAATCTAACTTCAGGACATAGGAGTCAAAGATCACATGACTCAAGCTACAAACACATAAATTTTGCATCTTATTTTCTGTAGGAACGGACCTGACATAGACACTATAAACATTCTGTTTTCTACGTGTCCTATAAAAACACACATTTTCATATGAGACTTGATTGTGTCATGATTTGTAGTGAATAATAGCATTTCCATTGCTTGTACTTGAATTTCATGAAGTGGGGAAACGGTTCATTAAATTTTGATTAATCTGTGTCACAATTATTTTAACATATTCATCATGAAAAGCTTTGTTTTGACTAGCGCACAGGTGATCACAGACATGGCTAGAATGTCAGTGTAGTTATAAATGAACTGGGAGCTCAGAGACCTGCTCCTTTTGAAATCATTAAAAAATACAAAAACAGATTATGAGTTCCCCTCCCCAAATGACTGTGATTAGAAGAGAGCCGGAGAAAGGCTCTCTGATGATGGGCACATTAAGACAATGAAAAAGAGGGGAAAAATATGCATCTTAAAAAGGCCCAATCATTTCCAATGAGCCAATGGGATTGCCTGCAGCCATTTCACAATTAACAGCATTCTTTGTGTTTGATAAGGGACTGAATGTTGGCAATTTAGAGGACGGAAGACAGGAATGACAATTGTTCCCACAGCTAGGGAGCTACTCCGGGGTGAGGGATTGATTAGAGCGAGTGACTCATCTTCTTGGCATTGCTGAATCCTTACGCTGGTCCTTGACCTGACCCACTGTCTGCAATCTGATGGGCCTAATGTGTATAAGTAGCAATATGTCGGGCCTATATAGCACAGCTTCGACCAGCTGTGGTCGCCTATAAATGACTGTGTAGATAATGACAGACACAATGTGTGACAGAGTAGATAGAGAAATTGGAATCAAGACTAAGACTGGTGCTATGTATATAATTCAGCTTACCCAGACGGCCATACATTTATTCATCTATTGTGCTTTTCCTCCTCTGCATTCCCTGCCTTATAGAAACTATGGATAATGTGTTTCCTAAAGTACTTATGCATTCTATTTGCTATGGCTCCGTGCACTCGCCATGCCAATCTAATACATACCAATCTAACAAAACGCAGGCCAACTTTAGTTTACCTTGAAATATACAGGTTGGTAAAGAAAAGAATTCAAAAGCATTGCTGGCTGAGAAATGTAAGAATGAAGATGGAGTTAACACTTCAACCTTTTCCAACCATCCCAGTATCTAATCACACGCAGAACAAACACAACAGAGGACTTACTGTGGCAATAAGCTTATCCACACAGTCAGGAGCCACACTGTGGAGGTGTGTGAGGTGGAACTGCAGGTGGATCTTGTTGTTGAGCATGTCCTGGCATAATGGGCAGCGTAACATGGGTTGGACAGAGTGCTGCGTCATAACATGCATTCTGAGACGATTCAGGTCCGTGTTGGTGAATTTGCAGTAGGGGCACTGGTACATCTGGGTAGGAGAGACAGTAGCAGAGACGGAGAGAAAGAGGATGGGGTTAAAAACAAACCCACGGAGGGTTAATGGGGTGAAATGGGTGCGGTGAGGATGGTGGGCCTGCTTGAAGAGGAGCTGTAGATCAGGTGGAAGATTTGGGGCCCCCTTCCCTCAAGCAGGCAGATCCCTCTGATCACAGACAACTGTGTAATACTGAGCACCACTGAGTCTTGGCACCTACTTCAAAGTGCTCTCATCTGTCAAATACTATATTGATTTTCCACCTTATACACAATTAGCAGTGCAACTGCAGCAGGAAGGCTAAAATAATTTTGAGTAGATTTAGGAAAAAAAAATCCTGCATAATATAAAAAGGGTCAGTGAGATAACTAACTGAAAATTATCAGAAGTATGTTTTTACGTTTCTTCTTTTAATTGATGTCCCCTAATTCAAAGAGTTTTAAAAACAGAGTTTCATGAACATCTGAAGACATCAATGTTATCATAACTGTGTGAGGTGTGTAACTCTCACCTGCTCCGCAGCGCTCTTCTCAACTGTCCTGGGACGCTTCGAGGAGAGCGGGCTCTCGGAGGTCTCAGACCGCGAAGAGGGCCTTTTGGAGGGGACTGGGGAATCCGACTGGTGCCGCTCCAAGTGGCCAGACACTGCTGCACATTCACACAGACGCACACAAACATGGGAGTGATAAAGAGAGAAGAGCAGACATGTCAAGACAAGGTGAGGACTTGGCAGCCTGGGAGCAGGTCAATCAATAACACTGTGGATAAAGGGCTTTGGAATGTCTTTCTTAAATGTGATATAACTGCATTTAATGGGAATTGGGCAGAGAAAGTGTTGTTATCCAACTCATGTCACCCCATGAAAAATACCACACACTTTTTTTTACTCGTCTTCCCATGCTGCTGCAGGGGAGCTGTCTCTTTCAATGTTGTCTTGTCAGGATATCATACAACACCGTAAACCGCTAATGAAAATATTAATTTGCCACAGGGTGCAACTTTAGGTTTCATCACATATTTTCAGTCCTCCTGAGTTTCTAAACTTCAGACAAGGTACACAAACATGATGCAACCTTATCATACAGTGAGAAGAATAAATTATCCACATTAGACTCAACTGTGATACCGTGATATTGTAATATAACCATATTTAAGAACAAAGCAAATACCTCTAATTCAATTTTTGATATTTTGACCAATTTTCACACTTCTGCCTCTCCAAAGTTTGTATTATCTTTCAGAGTGATCAGGACGTTTTTAAGAGATCAAGAGAGATTTAATTTTAATCAAACGGTGCCTACAGTTTGACCAAGCTTGGAAAATTCAGCAGTTCTTTGTTTCCATAAGCAGGGGAATGCCAGTGAAATTCTCTGTTTCACTGTAACCAGCTAAGCCTTCTCCAATGTGTTGTAGTTCTGTGCAAGTGGACTGTGACAAAGAGAAAAAGAGGACAGCAAGATTAGAAAAACCTCTTTCCAGGCCTCTGAGCAAATCTTGATATTTCCTTAAAAAAAAAAAAAAAAAAAAAGCGAGGCCGCACACGACATCAAGCTTTCATTTGACTCGAAGATCTTAAAGACTAAAAACATGCCATTGGGCTCAAAGATGGCATCAGACTGATGATTAGTCATACCCGAGCATATTCACAGGATACAGCCATGCCTCGGTGCTCAGTCTGTGGAAATGTAAAAAGGGGCTGCAGTCATTCACATGTGGCTGCCAATTTCTTGAAAGATTTCCATTATATTCACCTGTAAAGCTACGCCAAGTGTTTCACTAGCTCACAAACTGAATTGCACGGCTAATCCTTTCAGTGCAAACAACACCAGTATTAGCATAAAATAGCACGTCTGCAAGGCCTCGCACAAGAGCCCCCGCAAACCACTACTACTGCTTTATGAAGAAAAAAGAGAAGCTCGAGGTGGCACACACATATGCACCACAGTTGAGCACTCAGCTAAGCAAGGGCTCGCAGAGGAGCTAAATCCACATGGAGCCACCACGGAGGAGCCGCCGTAGCATCGTGCTTTGTCACCAGTGGAAAGAATTCACTGTGAAACTTAAGGAGGTGTCTTGCCAACCCCCTAACAAGCCCATAAAGAGTTAAATTTGCCCTGATTTGTACAGTCCTGGAAGGGCAAATTGAGAACAGAGGGCATTGGTAAGGGAGGGGTGCTTTGGCGGGGGGTCAGGTTAAGCAGGGCTGACCACGCTCCTGCTCCAGACATTAAAATGTCAGCTCCAATCAGGACGGGGGCAGTTGAGCTGATTACCCAGTGGGGGACCTGGCTTTGGACAGAGCAGCCTGTGAGATCTCCCAGAGACACCGGGATCAGCCAGGGAGGCCCTATTAGGGTCCAGTCACAGTCAATCCTATTAAACACATCCGCCAATAAACAAAGGGAATGTTAAACAAAAGGAACCTCCCATTCCCTGACATTAACCTCTCAGTCATGGCACTGTCCTCACTCCTCCTCCTCCTCCTCAACTCCACTACAGTCCACTCCGACTTCCCCTGAACTCATCTCTCGAGGAAAACATGGCCGGTCATCTGTGGCCACCTTCACATCTCAACAGCCTGGATGATCTTTTGACCTCTCTCATGTTTGGGGGTCCTAATTCAATTTACTAATGATAATATATCATCTTAAAAAGGCTCATTTCTCTTTCTGTGGACCTAGAGGAAAACACTCATTTCTGTATCTTGGCTTTCTGTCTCTCAATTAGCAGCTCAGTAGCACAATATAGCACCAGAGGTCTCACAGATACAATGTAGCAAAGGAAAGCTAACTGTTTTTGAAGTCAAAGGAGCAGCATCTGTTAAAACTATTAATATCAGATTGCAACATTTACACGCACCTGCTCTCTTGTGTAAAAAAAAACGCTGCATTGCATTTGTGCACAGACAGAAGGAAACAAGCACAGCAGCTGCTACAACCTAAATATTTATAATTACCATTCACTGGGAATGACTTAACTTTTGTAACTGAGAGAGGAAGTGCAGAAAGAAATTCAAAGAGCAGGTGATGCAGGGCTCGCGCTGCGGCTGTAAAGTACATACATACAATGTGGAAAGTAAGCATGGATTAAGTAGACACAAGTATCCTCTCAGCCTCATGATTAAGAGGATAAACATAATTGATTATAAGTATATTCCACTTCCACAATTACTCAATAAGCACCAGAGAGGTGAAACAAGTGGCTGTTTATGCTAAGGCACTGGAGAACTGCTGTAGAAGGGGCCCAAACCGGCTCTCTTGCTCAGTGTGTTTTATGTTTGTGTGTGAGAGAGAGAAGGAGAGATTGAGAGAGGGAGAGGGGGACAGATGGAGGGCTGGGGAGGCTTACTCACACACAGTCTTTCTCGTCATGGCCAATTAGGACTCCATAAATCTGATCAATCGCCCTCTCTTAAGAACCCTACATCCCGACACCATCACCAGCACCATGACTAACATCCAACTACTGTATCCTGTTTTTCCGTGTCAAGGGTGATGAAAAAAAAAAAAAAAAAAAAAAAAAAGAAACGGCAGAGACATTGAAAAGCTGGGAATGAAATAGAGATTTTTTTTTTTTTGGTCATTACACAGTCTGTCTAACATGGCAGATTGGACACTGGTGTCCAAGCATAGATGCGTACACGTGAGACACATGGATCTACGATACGAGCAGGAGATCAGAACCAATGACCAAAACATTGGGTCCTGATGGACTATTACAGGAGCAATGTACTGTCAAGAAAGAGCAGAAAAAGACTCTGGTGAGATATGCTATGGATGTCAAACACAGCTGACAACAACTAGAGGTGAGGTCTAGTTTTACTTTCTGATGTTAGGCTGCAAGAGAAGAAATACAATCACATGTTTTTTAAAGAATAATTCCTACTGTTTCTTTGGAATATATAATATAGCTGTCACTCTGGCCACATTACTCATCACTGGGCCCTGTGAGGCTGCTGTGGAGATTACAGAGGCGTCCTTAGTGATGACACTTGACCTCAAACTACAATGCATTTCTGTATTTAAACCTTGTGGTTGCTTAGATTAAAAATGCTTGTCCAATTCCCAAGTAACTGTCCACAGAGACCACCGTGGGCTCCCCCTCCGTCAGTGACCTTAATGTCAGTCAGGAGTCTGTCTGTTCCCCTGACCTCTTCTGCCTGGTCATTAGACACAGATCCCCCATCCACACCAAACCTCTTCTGACAGATACACAGGGTGGGCTTTTGTTTGAAAGCACAAAAGGCAGGGCACGAGTGGAGAAAAAAAAAACCTAAGAGTCAATTAGGTGATTATTAATTCATGCCCCTTTTCCGTAAACCAGAGGCTTTTGTGCTGTCGAGTCCCGTAAGTGAATTGGACTTTGGCACCTTGTCTCACCTCCCATAGCTGGACTGTATTATTCAAGCAGCAAAGGGGCTGTCAGCACACTGCAACGGTCTCTGGAGCAATCACAGCCTTGTTGTGCTTTTAAAGGGGGGAAAAAAGATGCCTGCTGAACAGAGTGACTGACACAGCACAGACTGAATTAACCACAACAGGTCATCTGCCATTGAAATCTTCCAGGAGTGCAATCGCAGCTGCCATTAATCTGCTTTGTCCTTGGGAGAGGTTGTCCATATTCTAAGACGCGAGTTACAGTAAACAATATGTAAAAGAAGTGGAAGATGGGAAAAAGATTCCTGGTGTTTTTCGGAGGGGAATTCCCCTCCTACTGACTGACATGGGGTCCTCATCATCTCCGGAGCCTCTGCCCCCTCATTACCACAGTTCCTGTCTCGCCGTGGCAGCTTCAGGCCTCCGGTTGTAAAAAACATAACCTATCATGCAGTCCGTCCACGCCAGCGAGACTGCATAACTTTACTGTAACTCTGCCCAGAACAGCTACAGTCTGCCAATCACTTCAAACTACAGCTCAGCCCACATTTCCTCTGCATAGTAAACCTCAGTGGTACACTTTCTGAAAACTGTGTCCTCTGATCCCCAACTCCCCAAAACCTTTCACCTTCACACCGCAGAGGGCTTCTGACGCGCCTCTGCTACTTGGAATGTAGAAAATCCTAACCTCTATTCCCTCTGCAAGTTGGCCATTAATATGGAGATGATTCAACTCCCCCAGTGCTACAATTCATTCTCCTTTAATGCTATGCTAACAATACCTGAATATTGTCTTTTCCTTTTTCCATTTCTATCCAGGTTTTAATCTATAGCCTGCGTCAGAGCCCAGAGCAATAAAGGGCAGTGTTCCATTTCATCTTATGTTTCTCAGGTAATTATTCTGCATCCATTAAAAAGAAATACCAGAAAACTGAAACCTTGAACTAAAAAGCCGATATTGAAGCCACATATGAAATCATCTCCTGTTATTTATGAAGTCCAAGAATAAAACACTAAACTGTGTGATATGAGAGTGTTATGCACCCTAACGACATGATTGCAAGAAAGGCAAATACGAGATGAAGAAATTGAGAGGAGATATTAATTAGCAGAAGCGTTATTAATCTTCAGGCCACTGAACAACAGGATGACATAGCGTTCACCTTTACAGGACGCTCAGAGACACAGCACTGGTGCTTGCCCATTAGACACCCCGTGGTAAAACTCATAAACACTGAGCTTTCAGGGAGTTGGCTCACAAACAAGGACAAT